TCTTTGAGGCGGTTAATGCGAGCTGCTCTTCAAAGTGTCGGCGTTTATTCTTTTTCGCACTGTTGCAGAGGTTCCGCTGACATTTACACCCTTCGTAATCATTGGCAGAGCCAGAGAGGAGGAATTTGTCCCACAGTCTGCGCCGCCTCCGAGCCAGGTTTCCATACTCCTTGTCAAACCAATGAGGCTTAATCGGTCCAACCTTTCGACATTTCAATGGCACAAATTGGGAACACAATGATGTCAATCTCTCTTTTATAAATATCCAACAATCTTCCACAGATGCAGCTTGTGACAGAGACCAATGCAATCGGCTCGCGGCTCGAGCTAGACCATCATAGTCCGTTTTCCAGTAGTTGGGAGCTGGTTGCAGTGGATGTGAATACGGCAAAGATAATTCCATGTCAGCTATCAGTACTGAGTGGTCGCTCGTAGCCAGGGGCTCCAGGATCCTAACGTCACGCACTCGTTGTTCGTAGCTCGTTAACATCAGGTCGAGACAAGACGAGGTTGAACGTGTTGATATGCGTGTTGGCTGGCATATGTGTTGCGATGCACCAGTTTCAAGTACCAAATCCACGAGCTTTGCTTCAATCTCACTATGTCCAGGCCAGATGGTATACACCCACTAATCCTCAAGTCATTATCGACTATAATTGCACCTTCTGTAACTGAACTGTTTAACAGGTCACTATCCACTGGTCTACTACCGGACGACTGGAAATGCTCAGTCGTAAAGCCTATCCCGAAAGGTGGTAACCCAAGCAAAGTGGATAACTACCGGCCGATCTGCCTGACTGCTGTTTTGGCAAAGACGCTCGAGAAGATCGTAAAGAAGAGCCTTCTGCAACTTCTCGAGTCGAAAAACCTGCTAACCTCCGCACAGCATGGTTTCCTGAAAGGTCGTTCGTGCATCACCAACCTACTGTTGACGAGGCACGAATGGTTACAAGCACTGAACAAAGGCCAATCGGTTGACGTCATTTACATTGACTTCAGTAAGGCTTTTGACAAGGTAAATCATGCAGTGCTCCTTGACAGACTGAGGATGTGCGGTGTTGGTGGTTCGCTGCACAAATGGATCAGCAATTTCCTTATTGATCGGAAGTGGAGAGTCCAGGTGGACAACCATCTAACAGACTGGTATCCATCGAGCAGCGGCGTGCCCCAAGACACTGTACTGGGACCGATATTGTTTCTAATCCATATAAACGATGTGCCTCAGCTACTACAATCACATTGTGCTTTGTTCGCAGATGACTTGAAAGTGTGGCGAGTAATCCGCACACTCAATGATTGCGATTTACTTCAGCAGGATCTCGACCGCCTCTCAACATGGTCTGCAGAGGTTAACCTTCCGCCTTCGCGCTTCACTTACCGCACGTCAGCCTTTAGCTACTAATCCTTTAATGCGTTTTTTGCCACAACGGAACCGAATATCTTTGACGATTCTTTTTAATGTGTGCATACTTATAGGCTAGAAACTATTTGGCCCAACCGAAGCTGGACTTGAAGCTACGGATCCCCCACCCTCATGTTTGGTAGCACACATCCTCCACAGCTTTGCAACTACCCATATGTGCTTTCATTGAGCGTTCTGTCAAATCTTGACCCCTTGTGTGCTTCCCTTACGCTTGTTGTGCACCGCCTCCAGAGAAGATTTCCGAATCTAGTACACCAAACTATCTTCATTAATATCTGGGATATATTTTTATCCTATAAAAGCGACTAGGCTAAGTAAATCACCGTTCCCTAAAGCAGTCGGACCCGCACTGGATAGGTGACGCCGGTCCACTATAGTCATCGGTGCAACCATACGATAGCCATGCTACCTTCATCCTTGGTTCGTGAATGCTGAATGCCTACATGGATTTAGTTTCATAATCGCATGCGATCTGTTGTAAACAAGCTCCCGCTGGTGTACTTTAAAGCGGGCTCATTCACTGTCGAAGTCTGCGTACCTCCGAAGTCATTTCCATGTGTTTGGACCCAGCAGATCTCACTCCCGTCTACACAGTTAGTCTTGACTTTCATTGAAAATTACCAACAAACGCGCGTTATTTGTTCAGCGGCCATGCTATTCACGCTTAACGCCGCAAGAACTTAAGAACTGAACTAGCACGCGCGAGAGCCAAACTCTCTCATCCTGCTTGGAGCTATGTACCTTTCGAATTTACTCTTTGCCACATACCGTCAAACATTTTGGCCTGTCAAATAAACTAGCTGAGCCTGTTTCATCATTTTCATTGTTTTTTTTCTGCGTAGAAGAGTCTGGAAGGATGCGCTAGAAATGTTTTCTGCTATTCTTGAAACACCCGATGTGTGCGTCTTTTTAACCTCATCTCAGTGTTGCCAACTGCGTTCTGGATTGGTTCACCTCTCTATGAGTTCTGAGCTTCGTCTACGACAGCATTCTAATCAGTCGAGGTCACAAGCTGCCCAACATTTTCTGCTTGAATGCAACTCACTTCTCATTCCTGATGCTCCACAGTTTAGTCCCTACTTGAGCTGCGCAATCTTGAGAGCTGTCATCTAGCTTCAACCCATTTCCTATCTCCGTTTGATGCCTCAGCTCACTCCTCGTGGTATATTAGTTGGTATGGGTGATAACCATTCTCAACCATCTAGGTATCATGCGCGTTAGGACTTTTTCTTTATCGAAAACGAGGTTATTCGTTGATTTAGTTCTAATTCGCATGCTTTTTCTCTGGTTCTTATACTTTCTTAATGTTCCACTATTTTAAACCTATTCAATTTACATTATTTCGGCCATTGTCTTTACGTGTCTTGTTTTGGTATTTGCTCACTTTTGTCTGCATATCATTTTCGGTAGTGGCTCTGGCGTCAGGCGCCGTTAACTGATCACTTCTCCCTGCTGGGGATCTGAGCAAGCATGATTACTACTTGCCGAGCGTCCTGCGCATATTTCAGAACTCACACCAGTTCCAGAATCCGTCCCACGACCGACCCGTGACCTAAAAGATCGCAGACCCACCTTGTAATCCGAGAGTGGGAGTGGGAACCTGCGTATGGGACACGTTGTCCCTCGCAGTATCCTTAGACAAACGAGACTGTTGGTGGTTGTGCGGTAGCGAAGCATCGATACTGTGTACCGGCGTACTGATGGCACCTTTATACCCACCATCAAGCGATCCCTTTATCTTTCCTTTGGATAAACATATTTGCTTATTTTACACCAATGTTGTTGCAGGTGTCTGGCGTGGATGAATGGCTTCTTCACTTTGCGCAACACGCCTATCCTCGTAGTGAGCTCTACTCTACCCATTCACCTGGTTATTTCCTTCGCGTGCGCTTGCCTCGTATCTGATTGTCCATTCCTAAGCTACACCGGATTAGATGCACGATCAGTGACGTTGCAACACTAATTAGATGGTTTACGACGGGTCTCCTTTGTCAGTTATATTTCAAAAATGATTCAGTACAGCAACGGATGACCCGTCCATAAACACCAACTGGTGCACGCCCTAGCAGTGCACTTTGTAACCCCAAAAGGATTCCTGAACTCTTAAGCAGTAGGGTGGTCGGTACACAATGGCCATATTCATGCGATAACATTGTCAAACTGTCCATGACATTACTGGCTTGTAAGCTGACATTACGTCGTGTCCAAAAGTAATTGATTCTCTGAAAACGTACTTTGTATGTGTGTGTGCGGCCTCCTTCTAGGTTATTTGGCCATCATAGAGGGTGGGGATGTCTGTGTCACATTTCCACTGCTTGTTCGATGAGGGTGGGAAGCGCTGCTCAGTTGAGCTAAACTACAATTGTGAAATCTTTTTATAGTTTAAAAAGTAGACCCGACAACCCTGTTCACCGCGCTTTCGTAATTGGGGTCCTCATCTGAAAACTAACCTTTACAGTGGCACAACATGTGAGGTAGGCATTGGTGGCGTTTCTCATTGGTATTTGTCGTGTTTTGTCTTCTAAACACGCCAGTTTCTCATATGTGTTTCTTGTAGCCTTTTGCCCCATCGGTTGCTCGACTGGGTCACGAAGACTCGTTATTCCTTCACTTCACACCTTGTATTTCGTAAACTATCGTGTGGATCACATTTGAATTCCTGTATCTATACTCCTTTGCCTCCCTTGTGCACACAGCACGCCAGAGTATGAGCGCCACCTGATTGACCTGCATGCGGACCCGGCAAATCAGCATGGGGATTCTGTCTCCGTCCAAACTGGCCAATCTGTTTTAAACGAAGCATGGTCAGTCTCCAGTCTCTTTTATCGTAATTTAGCTTCTGGTCGTTCAAGTAGAACGTTTTGCTCATTTTCATAATATCGTTTTTCTGTCCTCCGTCGTTTTGTTCGACTCACGCGTTTTAATACCTTGACCCTGAATCCCAGTCCGAAGGACAACTCCGATGGAACATCTCCCTCTGCAGCTGTTTCAGCTATTCCAATTGGCAAAACATCTGGTCCCGACCATGGCCACGCCGACACTTCTTGTTCATCTGACGAACAGGCGTTTAAAAGTAAGGCGTTTCAACTAGCCTGTTTTTTTCACATCATCATCATCACGTTCGTATGCGTCAGATTGTTGGGCAAGCCCGAGTATATTAGCAGAAATGCTTAGGTATCCTGCTCTACGCCATGTTACTACACTGCCACTCACTCGTGAGCGTCATATGTGAATTGAGCGGAGCGCACATGCGATCTATCCTGGTAGATTACGTTGACTTGAAGGAAATTAATACGGGCAGCATACTAGTCCCTCGATTTTGAATTAGTATGCCACGGACGGACATCAGTCAGCATGTCGCTGACACACAAATTGCTACTTTGCAATTTTTTCGCCCTGAGTCATCATGTGATCAGAGTATTGCTTTTTCGTGTAATCTACTCATCACGCCAATTGATGTGTGTGTCGTCACATCGAGTTTGAGTTCTTATTTATTTACCTAATCAGTCATCGTTCTATGCCTACCCTTTGTACAATTCAATCGCACCAACAGACTGAGCCGTGTCTCGCCTAGTCGTGAAACGAACACTTGATTTTTTACTTATGAACATGCTGCGTCCCGCCCCAGATCTCATACTGGCTTTGATAGCTTCATTTGTTGCATGGTTTTTATTTGCCTGCTGCTTCTCTCCCGCGTTTCAGCCCAGCCAGTGAACAAAGCGCCATCTTCTTCGATGCATCACTCATCGGTAGGCGTTCCGCACGCAAGTGGCCCCAGCACGAGTACGGTGGATAAAACGAACGTCAGCAATAATCGCCACATTAAACTCCGTCAGTTTGTCCTCGTTACTTTATACATAGACGGCCATCACAAATTGTACTTTCACTGTTGCTTTAATCTCCGACATCCAGTTACGCGTTGTCTGGTGTAGACCACTGGAATTCATTCATTTTTTTTGTCATTGATTACCGTCGGTCATCTGTGTCCACTATCAAGCGAAGTCCACACTTGGCGTCTTGTGAGTAATGCACACTTCCCTTGGAAATCGCGTCTTTTCGCACCACATTGGTCAGTCGTCTCGTTCCCAAGAGTTTCGGTCATTGCTTCGATTTAGCTTTTTCATACTATCCTATCATTTTTTGCTTTTTCTTACATTTTGTATCATGTCATAAACCTCCGCATTTCTTGTGCAGCTCTAGTGTTTTACGAAGGATCGACTGTAATTCCATGAACTCTGCTTGTTGGTCTTGTTTGCAGCTTCTGAACAATTATTCAATGTTAACTCCAGTCTTTCATCCTCCGATTTTGCACCGATAACATCTTCTGGCCATGACCTTGAATGTTATTTCTTCTCTCCCATTATTGTTGTTCTCCCGCTGACTTCCATTTACAGAATTTTCTGATTCCACAACGAATTTCTACTGCTGCGTGTACTATGCTGCGGAATTCTTCCGTCTTCGGCAGTTACTGTTGCCTCAAGGGGATGTCGGGTGAGTTGGACATATTCCCCTGAGTATGATGTATATATTGCTTTTCGCCGCGCTACCAACTCAACTCATTGTTACCGCGTTTATTTCCTATATTTGTCCAGTTTCATTCGGTCCTTATCCCGCTGTTTGCAATGGGACGCTCGTGGCGGCAAGTCGGGTTCGTTGTTCATGAAGACTCGCGGTATGCACCACTTTTGATCTGCGCATTAAGCAGTCACATCTCACTCCACTTTCTTGGTGCTTGTGTAATATCATCAAATGCTTGTGACAAAGGAAAAGGACCACGCCATATATCGTATGTGCACCTTTAGATCGACATTCTTATATGAATTCTCCAAAATGTTACTATCCATGTCTAATTGTTCCTGTCGTGCACAACGAAACCATAGCGCTATCTGGGTTGGTGTCCGGATGGTATCCGAACACAAGCTTATTTTGCGAAATAATTCAGCATGCGGTGTAGACTTATCAACTTGAATTTACCCACTGGTATGCTCTAGAGTGCAACGACCTCCATCTCGGAACGCTGTCTCATTCACATTGATACTGAATCCACATGAGCACCATAATTCTTCTGTTTCGCTCCTGGGATATAGTTTGTATACGAAGATGTGTCTAAATCAAATCGAAGCTGGTGGATTTTTGTCCTCGCTTGGATATTGGGTTTTTGTACTACGTTACAACTGCTTATCCTTATTGAATGAGGTTTACACAACATTTTCCGGGTGCAGATTAGCTATGCCAGCTTGTATCACTGCGTTCAATGAATTCGTGCCGAATCCTGCCAAAACTGCAACCTCTGACTAAGTGGCTATCTTTATTGAATTGCGATGTCATTTGTAGACAACCAGTTTCCACACGAGAAGCGAAGCTTACAACGCGTTTCCTCTGCGGTTGGCGCGCCGTTTCAAAAGTTCACTTTCTTCTTGTACACACACACACACACACATATATATATATATATATATATATATATATATATGGTTGGCGGCATCCGGTTTCGGATTTGCCTGTCACTGTGGCAAGCCACAGGACGCCTGCGCCTACAGAGGGACCATGGATGGCTTGCGCTGCATCACCCACAGCTCCAACTACGCACCCCATATCCAGTGTAAACCCGAAGGAATAAGACCGGGAGGCATGCGGATGGGAGCCACGTTTCATCAACGGAGCCGGCCCACACTCCTTCACAGGCAAACACAAGCACACTGTATTTGGGAATCAAGCGCACACAAGGCGGTGGCTGGACCGTAGTCCGCTCCACACGGAGTGCATGGGACCACTCTTTGATCCTAACACGGCCACAAGGACCGTGCACCCTGTCCCCTCCAGCAACGACCAACTGTCTCCTGGAGCCAGTATGGACGAGGTAGTGGGTAATAGACAGGTAGGCACCTTGTCAACATGCACACCAAGCGGATCCACACCGGGGATATCAAACAGCAACCAATTACTTGGGAGAGAGAGAGAGAGACAAAGTAATTAGCTCGATTAATGCATAAGGAAACGGTGACATAAACCTTAATTAAATAGCATACGTAATAAGTTGTTTACAAACAAATCCTTGCTAAGTGCACGAGGTCAGGAAGTATAGTTCACGGAATGCCACGAACACAAAAATGTTATGGAAATCGAATACAATTGGCTGAAGCGATGTGTGCAAGTTAATGGAATAGAGTACATGGAGATATTCATATGAGAAAGAAAAGCATTAAGGCACAAACTGTAAACCCACCACCTGAAATAACGAGACTTAGCATGCAAGCACGCGGTTAGTAAATCGAATTCAGCGTGCCTACAAACGCTGCGCCGGCTCGTCGTAATTCTCTGCAGGACCCGTCGTCGCTTCTGTAGTGGCCCCAAATGGCACAGCGCATTGCCCACCAGACATTTATATGAGAAAGAAAGGCACTAGGAGAGAACCGAAATCCACCACCTGAAATAAAGAGACTTAGCATGCAAGCATGCGGTTAGTAAATCGAATTCAGCGTGCCTACAAACGCTGCGCGCGGTGCTGCCTACGTTCACTGCGGGACCCGTCGGCGCTTCGGCAGTAGTCCCGAGTGACCGCTCTCATGGCTCACTAGGCCTGCCTGACTAAGGCACTCGCGACCGCATGTTCTACAGCACAATGCGCTCGATGTCGAGGGAGTACAATTCATCGGTGCTTGCCGCTTCCGCACATGCCGCTTCTTCTCTGCATGCATGAGGGATTTCTCCCGCACCTTCAGCAACTGCCTTCGTGATTAGATCGCGCCATGCACGCCGATCACCGCATTCGATTCCCATGATCTGCAATCAAGATTAGAACGTGTGAGGCTCACTTTAATCATGTCCTGGTAACGTAACTTTGGTTTCCCAGCATGCCGCTTCCCTATACTCAGCTGACCGTATAAAAGTTGTTTCGGTATTCGCGTCGAATCCATACGGCTCACATGACCGAGCCATCTCAGGTGTCGCAGTAAAAGTATGCCGTCCACTGCATACATCCCACTTCGGCGCAACACTTCCGTGTCTGCAACTCTGGCGCCCCAGCCGATCCGCAAAATTCGTCGCAGACACTGCTGATGGAACCGCTCGAGATATCGCACATCCCGACGGTACATCGTCCACGTTTCACTGCCGTATAGAAGAACGGACAGTACCATGGATTTGTACACCATCAGCTTCGTGCCAATGCTAAGCTGATGGTTGTTCCACACTCGGTACTCAAGCTTCCCGAATGCCGCTGCCGCCTTCGACACGCGATTACGCAACTCAACGTGTAGCTGCTGATCAGTCGACATCACACTCCCAAGGTAGCAGAAGCGGGAGGTGGTTTCCAATAATTCAGCACCAATGCTGATTTGCGGCAATATTGAAGATTGCACCTCCGGTGAAGGCTGAAAGAGACAGACAGTTTTGCTTGTGTTGATGGTGAGCCCGAATTTGGCCGCTGTCGAAGCCAGAGCACTAGTCATGTGCTGCAACTCATCCGCGCTGTGTGAAAACAACGCACAGTCGTCAGCAAACAGCAACATACGGATAGTTGTCTCACAGACTAGAGTTCTCGCACCGAAACGACGGATGTTCAGCAACCCACCATCAATACGGTGCTCCACACGAACACCGTAAGCACAAGCCGCATCAAAAGCACAAGACAACATTGCATGAAGATAGATATTAAACAGGGCAGGAGCTAACACACAGCCTTGCTTCACACCAGAGACAACTGTAAAGTCATCAGAGGTCTCTCCACTCAGCTGCACCCTCGCTCGCATTCCACTGTGCAGACATTCAATTAAACTTACAAACTTACGCGGGCAACCAAACTTACCCAACACCAGCCACAGTGCCTCGCGGTTCACCGTATCAAATGCCTTGGTGAAATCAACAAAAAGCGAGTACAATGGCTGGTGTCGTTCTCTGCACTTCTCTTGCAACTGACGAGCCGCAAACACCATATCTATAGTGCTGCGACCCGAACGGAATCCACATTGCTCTTCCGCCACGTTTGGTTCCACAATCTGACTCACGAGGCGATTGAGCAGGATTCGGGCAATCACCTTGCCCACACAACTCAGCAAGTTGATGCCACGATAATTCGTGCAACATTGCTTGCTACCTTTGCCCTTGTACAGTGGTAGCACAAGGGCATCCTTCAGCTCAGCAGGCACCTCCTCCTCAATCCACACGCGTTGCACCAAGTGGTGCAGCGCAGTCAACAACGCGGGTCCACCGTGTTTCAATACTTCAGGTGGGATCCCGTCACCTCCGGCACATTTGCCGTTTCGCAGCTGAGCAAGTGCTCTCTGCGTCTCATCCAGTCTCGGCGTATCCGCCAGATCCGCCTTCACATCGTGCTGCTTCAGGCCATTCAATGTAGGCCAGTCGATCTCTGAACGGTTGTTCAAGAAACAGTCAAAGTGTTTCCGCCAGACCTGCATTATGTCTGCAGTCTGGGTGCAGGTAGCGCCTGAACTACCATCGATCAGTGTCCTCAGCGGCTCCAATCTCGGTCCATACACCGCCTTCAAGGAGTCAAAGAATTCCTTGTGTTGACGGCGTTCGGCGTAGCATTCCATCTGCTTCGCCTTCTCCGTCCACCATGCATTTTTAATGCGACGGAGCTCTCGGGTCAGTCGCCGTCGAAGTTTGCGAAACTGACTACTCTTCCCCAAGTCACTGGGGTCTGCAACATGTGCAGCAAATGCTGCATTCTTCTCTGACACCAATGCGTCAATCGTCACATTGTTGTCATCAAACCAATCAGGCCGCTTACAGTTTGCGCGCCCGATGGTCTCCTCCGCAGCAGCTGTCACCTGGTCGCGAATGTGGTGCCACAGGTCGCCCACTGTGGCTATACAGTCCACATCACCACACAGGCGTGCAGCCATCGCCTTCTCCAGCTCAGTACGTTTCGCCACAGTACCGAGGGAGAGAATGTTAAATTTACGGGAGCAAGCAATGTTGCACGAATTCTGGCAATCGCTATTTTTTATTTGTCAGTTTTTATCGTTTTACGCATGCTGCGAACAATATTTGACCTGACCGACTAGCTAGAGAATTTTTATGCTCGTGTTTAGATCTCAATCATATTTTACTTGGGGCAATTCGTGCATTCTATAAATCCTTCCATTATCCTTCTCGCCTACACCATTTCCCTTCCCCTATTCTGCTTTAGCTTTTATTCCTATTTTTCACTTATTGTGGCCTGAGCCCTATGGATAGTCTCTTTTAGTCGACCGCGGATTCATGCACCGTGCACATATTCACTCACACATCTCAAATATGAATTCCCCATCACTGCACATCGACGGAGTAACAAACAACATTCCACAACCAACAACGACAACCTCCGCCATACTTTCGACTTCTCACACTGTGTTGCAAAATTACACCTGTAATATCTGTCACGCTCTTTTCTCGACGGCTGCTGGTCTTACTCGGCATACCGGATACCACAAACGACATCCCAACGATCTACGTATGCGCGGTGCTCGAGTGACGTCATGCCAACAATGCAATCGTCAATTCGCTTCATCAAGATCGCTTACCACTCACTGCCGCCAGGCACACTCCACTATTTACCAAGACATGCTGTCATCCCGAACGGCCATATCCTCAGTACACTGGTCTGTTGAGGAAGATGCTCAGTTATTACTGCACGCAGCTCATTTAGGAGAATCTGTATCTTCACTA